GTGGCCAGCAGGTGGCGCTGTAACTGTATCTGGATATTGGCATGTAAATGTGTTCAGGTCAGGACTCTTATTAAACATGTGAATTTTGAGGCAGATTAGATAATGCATGCCTGAGTTATAATGACTTCCGATTTTGTGGCGAATCGTCAAAGTTTGCGAGGCCGCCACGGACACGCCCATTGACAAAAACTCTAAAGCTTCACAATTTAACATCGCCAAGGCCTTTAGATGACAAAACCTAATTTTGGTGTCGATCAGATAAAATCCCTAGGAGGAGTTCGTTAAAATACAACGCCTGGAAATGGCAAAAATGCCACTTATTTGCCGCAGGAAGTTAAAAATATCCGACTTCTTGTTGGGTTTGAGATATGGCTCCAAGAGACTTTTTCGTATGTTTTGGCGTGGTTGAGGTGTGTGCCAATTTTCGTGCATGTGCGTGATTCGTAGATCAGGGGCTCGTCCGTTTAATTTTTATAGGTGGCGCTGTCGAGTCATTTTGCCACGCCCACTTCACTATTGTTATGGGGATGTGTTCGGGAAAGGACTTTTATCAAGCATGTGAAGTTTTAGGCTGATCGGACTTGGTGTGGTTGAGTTATAAGGACTTCCTGTTCCATGGCGAAGCGTTGAGGTTTGTCATGCCGCCACAGACACGCCCCTCTGCGAAAACTCTAGATCTTCACAATATATCATCGCTAGAGCTTTCAGATAACACCACTCAAATTTGGTGCTGGTACAAAAAAAGTTTGTGGGAGGAGTTTGTCACACTGTAAAACATGTCATTTCCTGTGGCCAGCAGGTTGCGCTGTAACTGTATCTGGATAGTGGCATGTAAACGTGTTCAGGTCAGGACGCTTATCAAGCGTGTGAATTTTGAGGCAGATCGGATAATGTATCACTGAGTTATAATGACTTCCTGTTTTGTGCCGAATCGTCAAAGTTTGCGAAGCCGCCACGGACACACCCATCGACGAAAACTCTAAAGCTTCGCAATTTAACATCGCCAAGGCCTTTAGATGACAAAACCTAATTTTGGTGTTGATCGGATAAAATCCCTAGGAGGAGTTCGTTAAAATACAACGCCTGGAAATGGCAAAAATGCCACTTTTTCGCTGCAGGAAGTTAAAAATATCTGACTTCCTGTTGGATTTGAGATATGGCTCCAAGAGACTTTTTCGTATGTTTTGGCATGTTTGAGGTGTGTGCCAATTTTCGTGCATGTGCGTGATTCGTGGATCGGGGGCTCGTCCATTTAATTTTTCTAGGTGGCGCTGTCGAGTCATTTTGCCACGCCCACTTCCGAGACCCATAATAAACGTAAATTTTCGCCACTTCTGAGGCGTGTGCAAAGTTCCGTGAGTTTTCGGGCATGTTTAGCCCCTCAAAATCGCGATTCATTCCGGAAAAGAATAATAATAATAATAATAATAATTAAAGCTGCAAGCAGCGATGATAGGGACCTCGCACCCGGGCTCACCGCCGCCCGGTGACCTTACGATGACAGAGAACAGCGAACAATAATAATTTAAGCCAATATATAAAAAAAAGATCTAAGAGAATCACAGATTTATGCCAAACTTCCTCCTGTCAGCAGGTGGCGCTATAACTGTGACTTAAGATTGGCATGTAGATGTCTTCCGGAGAGGAATCTTATCAACCATGTGAAGTTTCAGGCACATGGGACATTGTGTGGCTGAGTTATAAGCCAAACTACCTTCTGCCAGCAGGTGGCGTTATGACTGACTCAATATTGTTATGTGGATGTGTTCAGGAGCGGACTTTTATCAACCATGTGAAGTTTCAGGCAGATCAGAGATTGTGTGGAGATTGTGTTTTAAGACAAACTACATTCTGCCAGCAGGTGGCGCTATGAAAGACTCAATATTATTATGTAGATGTGTTTAGGAGAGGACTTTCATCAACCATGTGACATTTTAGGCAGATCTGACATTGTGTGGCCGAGTTACAAGCCAAAATTTCTTCTGCCAGCAGGTGGCGCTATGACTCTGACTCAATATTATTATGTAGATGTGCTCAAGAGAGGACTTTCATCAACCATGTGAAGTTTCAGGCAGATCAGACATTGTGTGGCCGAGTTACAAGCCAAACTACCTTCTGCCAGCAGGTGGCGCTATGACTGACTCAATATTGTTATGTGGATGTGTTCAGGAGAGGACTTTTATCAATCATGTGAAGTTTCAGGCAGATCGGACATTGTGTGGTTGAGTTATAAGGACTTCCTGTTCCATGGCGAAGCGTTGAGGTTTGTCATGCCACCACAGACACGCCCCTCTGCAAAAACTCTAGATCTTCACAATATATCATCGCTAGAGCTTTCAGATGACACCACTCTATTTTGGTGCTGATACGGGAAAGTTTGTGGGAGGAGTTTGTTACAGTGTCAAACATGTCATTTCCTGTGGCCAGCAGGTGGCACTATAGCTGTAACTAGATATCGGCACGTAAACCTGATCAGGTCAGGACTGTTATTAAATGTGTGAAGTTTGAGGCAGATCGAATAATGCATCCCTGAGTTATAAAGACTTCCTGTTTTGTGGCGAATCATCAAAGTTTGCGAGGCCGCCACGGACACGCCCATCGATGAAAACTCTAAAGCTTCGCAATGTAACATCACCAAGGCTTTAAGATGACAAAACCCAATTTTGGTGTTTATCAGATAAAATCCCTAGGAGGAGTTCGTTAAAATACAACGCCTGGAAATGGCAAAAGCGCCACTTTATCGCCACAGGAAGTTAAAAATATCCGACTTCCTGTTGGGTTTGAGATATGGCTCCAAGAGACTTTTTTGTATGTTTTGCCATGTTTGAGGTGTGTGCCAATTTTTGTGCATGTGCGTGATTCGTAGATCGGGGGCTCGTCCATTTAATTTTTCTAGATGGCGCTGTCGAGTCATTTTGCCTCGCCCACTTCAATATTGTTATGTGGATGTGTTCAAGAGATGACGTTTATCAACCATGTGAAGTTTCAGGCAGATCGGACATTGTGTGGTTGTGTTATAAGGACTTCCTGTTCCATGGCGAAGCGTTGAGGTTTGTCATACCGCCACGGACACGCCCCTCTCCGAAAACTCTAGATCTTCACAATATATCATCGCTAGAGCTTTCAGATAACACCACTCAATTTTGGTGTTGATACGATAAAATTTGTGGGAGGAGTTTATAATTCCGTAAATCATGTCATTTCCTGTGGCCAGCAGGTGGCGCTGTAACTGTATCTGGATATCGGCATGTAAACTTGTTCAGGTCAGGACGCTTATCAAGCGTGTGAATTTTGAGGCAGATCAGATAATGCATGCCTGAGTTATAACGACTTCCTGTTTTGTGGCGAATCGTCAAAGTTTGCGAGGCCACCATGGACACGCCCATCGATGAAAACTCTAAAGCTTCGCAATTTAACATCGCCAAGGCCTTTAGATGACAAAACCCAATTTTGGTGTTGATCGGATAAAATCCCTAGGAGGAGTTCGTTAAAATACAACGCCTGGAAATGGCAAAAACGCCACTTTTTTGCCGCAGGAAGTTAAAAATATTCGACTTCCTGTTGGGTTTGAGATATGGCTCCAAGAGACTTTTTCGTATGTTTTGGTGTGTTTGAGGTGTGTGCCAATTTTCGTGCATGTGCGTGATTCGTGGATCGGGGGCTCGTCCGTTTAATTTTTCTAGGTGGCGCTGTCGAGTCATTTTGCCACGCCCACTTCCGAAGCCCATAATAAACGTAAATTTTCGCCACTTTTGAGGCGTGTGCAAAGTTGCGTGAGTTTTCGGGCATGTTTAGCCCCTCAAAACCGCGATTCATTCCGCGGAAGAAGAAGAAGAAGAAGAATAATAATAAACGGAGCAATTCCAATAGGGCCTACGCACCGTTTCGGTGCTCGGTCCCTAATAATAAACGGAGCAATTCCAATAGGGCCTTGCACCGTTCGGTGCTCGGTCCCTAATAATAATAAAAAACGGAGCAATTCCAATAGGGCCTACGCACCGTTTCGGTGCTCGGTCCCTAATAAAAAACGGAGCAATTCCAATAGGGCCTTGCACCGTTCGGTGCTCGGTCCCTAAAAACGGAGCAATTCCAATAGGGCCTACGCACCGTTTCGGTGCTCGGTCCCTAATAATAAACGGAGCAATTCCAATAGGGCCTTGCACCGTTCGGTGCTCGGTCCCTAATAAACGGAGCAATTCCAATAGGGCCTTGCACCGTTCGGTGCTCGGTCCCTAAATAATAAAAAATGGTGATTTAACATTCTCCTTCAATAAAAACGATCAAAAGAATAATTAAATACATAAATAAAATTATATTAAAAAAATTAAAATACAAATATAATACGTGTTATTTCAACTAAATAACTATATTAATAAACAATCCCGTAAACAAATGTACCAAAACACACACTGTAAACATTTATACACTGTGAAAGATGTATAAATTCCCCTTTGCTCCTGAGGCAATAAGGCGTCACAACATTACATTTCAGCAAGTTTTAAATCTTTAATATATGGGTCTTTCCTATGTTTCTTAGTACTACTTATGAAGTTATTATGAAGCATGCATGTGTAACCCCGCCGGTCCTACACCACCCAGCCCGCTCCGAGCTGGTATCGAACCTGCAACCTTCCGCATGGGAGTCAGTTGCTCTAACAAGGAGGCTAAAGACCATGGCCTCTAGCATCCGTCGCTAGAGCAGCTTTAGAGGTCAGAGGAGTGAGGTTTACCTGCACAGCACCTACTAGCTGGCCTTCATTGCACTGGATTGTGTTGTTTTAATACTGTTTGTAAGTGATTTGCCTCTTTATGTGTTTGTTGTATCATGAAATGCTACTACCCTAATCTAACTGGGATTAATAAAGTTGTTAAATGTAACATGAGAGATTCATAACATTTGCAGCATCAGTATTAAACTAATTAGCAAAACAAAAATCAAACTCAAACAACGTGAAAAGAACAACTAATGTGTGCATGTTAGCGTGTCTGTGTGTGTTTACCCTGTGCTGCTCTGCTGGGGCTGGTCTCTCGACTGCAGCCTTGACTGCGAGGGATTTTACTGAGTCTGTGAGTGTGTGTTGCAGGAACCACAGACACTCTTCCATACGACAAGAGCTTTCGTGGAGAACTGGAGCGACTGCCCGCTGAAATAAACACACACACACGTTTGTTTTTGTGAAAAGTGGGGACATTCCATAGGTTTCCATTCATTTTATACTGTCCAAACCGTATATTATATTGCCCTCACCCCACCCCTAAACCCAACCATCACAGGAGACTGTGTGCAGCTTTACTCTCTGATTAAACTCATCCTGTGAGATTTTTAAGCATTTTGAGAAATGAGGACGTCACCAATGTCAAACACACACACACACACACCTCAGAAGAGTCAGTGTGTTGGGTTAATATAGTGAGTGATTAATGATATTTGAATAACAGCTGATCAAGCGGCACACGCAGAGACACACACACAAAAGAAGATATTTTGAAAAATGTTGAATTGTCTTGTTTTGATTTCTACTATGGAAGTTACCGGTTGATGTTTTCCAACATTCTTCAAAATATCTTCTTCTGTGTTCAAGCAAATCTTAAAGGGGATTAAATGTATTTAAGTTAACTATCCTGTAATTGTTTCCCGTGTTGGCGTGAGTTTCCTCCATGTGCTCCGGTTTCCCCCACAGTCCAAACACATGCGCTATAGGGGAATTTAGTAAGCTAAATTATCCGTAGTGTATGTGTGTGAATGAGTGTGTATGGCGGTTCATTCCACTTTGGCGACCAAAGATTAATAAAGGGACTAAGCTGAAAAGAAAATGAATGAATGAATCCTTTAATTGTGCCGTGATGTTGCTGTGTTTATATTTGAGTGATGTGCACATATCCCGAATCCCAAACTCACGCTGTGATTGGGAGGCAGCTTTGGCTCGACTCCGCCCCCTGCTGTCAGTCACAGACGCTCCACCTCCAGTCGGCGTCTCTGAACTCTGGCGTCTGGTGCGCACTCGACCTGCAGATACAGCAAAACATTACACTGGTGGCTTTAAATCACTTCAATAACTGTAGTAGACAGACAGACAGACAGACAGACAGACAGACAGACAGACAGACAGACAGACAGATAGATAGATAGATAGATAGATAGATAGATAGATAGAATCAATTTCTTCTGTTAAACCCTGTGGATCTGTGTGTGTGTGTGTGTGTGTGTGTGTGTTGGGGGGGGGGGGGGGGGGGGGGGGGTGGAGGGCTTGTAGCGTCTCTGCAGTAGACATGAGTGATGATTCAGCTGGAGAATATTATAATAGCTCTCAGTATCTGTTGTTATCTAATGCTCCAGTCAGATGTGTGTATTGCTGGAGGAGATGTGGAGGAGGTCAATTATTGATCCGCATCAAACTCCCTTCAAGCAAATCTCTTCACTCGGCGGCCACATTAGTAAAGACCCCAGTCAGTTCATCCAAGACCAAAATCCTAAAATCCTCCCTAAATGAACGGGGAATCCTGAAATCTTTTAAACCCAAAAAAGCAGGACAATGTTAAACTACCGCTATGGAAAAGCCGGACAATTCCTCTAGAGCTTTACAGTGTGGATTGTGTGGCAGCAGCTGAGCACAGAAGTTCTAGACTGAAACAGTGTCAGTCCAGTGTTCAGAGCTGGAGTTCAGTTCAGTTCAGTGAACTGAAGAGTAATCCATCCATGCACAGCTCCACAAGACCCAAACCAAGCAAGCCTGTGGCCACAGTGGAGGATCAAACCTCACCAATTGACCAAAGTGAAGGACAATTCCTGGAGAGAAAGCAGGCTCAGTTGGACACGACCATTTCTCCTCTGGCCAAACGTCTTGTGCAGAGCTGCAGTCTAGGCGCCGGAGGCTGGAGAAGCTGAATGTCCATCGTGGAGAAGCTGCAGGTGGGAGTAGGTCACCAGCTGATGTGCAGGATGTCCCTTCAGGATCAATGCAGAGACTCGTCTGTCACTGGGGTCTTTTTTTGTTGTTTTATTGATTATAAACAGAACGTGAACACGGTTATGAATACATTAAAACCTGTGCTTGTTTGTTGTAAAAATTAGTAATAATGACAATAAACACTAATTTGTGCATCTCCTGAACTCCGTGTGCAGCCATGCAGCTGGTGTATTCTGGGAAATATTTGTACACCTTCATTTCGAATGTGGTCCTGAAGAATCTCAGTTTCAAGGGCTACCTAGCCCTTTCCCTTAACCCTACGCCTTCAAGCTAAAAAGAATTGGGACACCTCGACCCCTTCACGTGAATGCGCAAAACTAAAGGTTGGGGTAAATGGAAGGGCTAAACGGTAGAATTGGGATTGGCCTGAGTTTGCATGTTCTCCCCGTGTTGGCTTGGGTTTACTCCGGGTGCTCCGGTTTGCCCCACAATCCAATCACATGCGCTGTAGGGGAACTGATGAACTAAATTGGCCGTAGTGTATGAGTGTGTGTGTGAATGAGAGTGTATGGGTGTTGTCCAGTACTGGGTTGCAGCTGGAAGGGCATCCGCTGGGTAAAACATATGCTGGAATAGTTGGCAGCCACAGGACAGCAGTGCCAGTGCTCTCACCACAGGTATTGGTGGAGTGGAGAGACAGTGATGGAGCCAATTCGGTGGATGGGAATGATTGGCAGGCCATGATCGTAAGTACTGATAGGGGACTTTGGTCAGGACACCGGGGCTACACCCCTAGTCTTTATGAGAAGTGCCATGGGGTTTTTAATGAGCACAGGGAGTCAGGACCTCAGTTTAACGTGTCATCTGAAAGACGGCGCCCACTGACAGTGTAGTGTCCCCTTCACTATACTGAGGCATTAGGACTCACGCAGACCACAGGTTGAGCGCCCCCTGCTGGCCTCACAAACACCACTTCCAACAGCAACCTAGCTTTCCCAAGTGGTCTCCCATCCAGGTACTGACCAGGGTCAGACCTGCTTAGCTTCAGTGAGTAACCGGGCTGCAGGGTGATATGGCTGTGGGTATTAAAGCTATATGTTTGTTTGTTATTTTTAGTATGATGCTGTTTAATAAAGTTTGTGACTAAGTAAACAGTGAAAACATGAATCCCCACAGAAACACCGAATATTTGATATGGTCAGATCAATGCAGCGCACCGAAAACCATGAAGAGACATAATGCTGCCAGACAGAAAACACTGCGTCTGAAGGAGGAAAACACTGATCTGAGGATAATAAATATTGATCACAGGAGTGCAGATGAGCCGACGAAACAAAAGCATCGTAATAAATGAGATACTGTATGAGCCAAGTACAGCATATGAAGACATTATAGAGATACTATAATACTATAGTAAATATAATACTGTTTTTAAACCATACTATAGTAAAATGTATTGCATATATTAAAGTATTTACAACTTTTCGTTAATGAATGCTCCAGCATACTGTAGTATTAACTGTAATAAATACTGTAGCATTCTTTAGCTTTTACTACAGCTACAACTTTGGTGTACTGACTGTGATACTTCCAATTGTTGTAAAAACTATAGTTGATGTTGTTATTGTGTTACCGTAGCAACTATAGAATCACCACTACAGATAAATCACTAACGTTTTCTGTTACCATAGCAACTATGGAATCACTACAACAACAAAAAATTAATATGGTTGTTTAGTTACCATAGCAACTATAGAATTACTACTACATATAAATTACTATAGTTGTTACTGTAGAAACTATAGAATCACTATTATTAATAAATCACTAAGTTGTTCTGTTACCATAGCAGCTATAGAATCACCACTACAGATGAATCACTGAGTTGTTCTGTTACCATAGCAACTATATAATCGCCACAACAGATAAATTACCATAGTTGTTTGGTTACCGTAGCAACTATAGAATCATCACTACAGATAATTCACGAAGTTGTTCTGTTACCATAGCAACTATAGAATCACAACAACAGATAAATTACTATGGTTGTTTAGTTACTGTAGCAACTATAGAATCACCACAACAGATAAATTACCATAGTTGTTTGGTTACCGTAGCAACTACAGAATCACCCCTACAAATAAATCACAGTTGTTGTGTTACCATAGCAACTATAGAATCACCACAATATGCATCAAACAATCAATCAAGAATGCCAAATATTGCGTAGAAAACAAGTCAATAAATTCACATTCCTCCCAACAATAAAACTCTCCCACCTTGAAATTGCTCGCATTGATCCATGAGGTAGTCAGACTGTCCACCATCCGCTCCAGCATGCTCTGGTCCACTTCCAGGTCATGTGACTTTTGTCTGTCCAGAATGTAGCCTATGATTTCTGGAGCAACTTGAAAACGACGTCCGACCTCTTTCTGCGTGACCTGATCCACGATATACTCCATGCTGGACTCCATGACTGATGACTGAGTCGAAACCACACATGCAGACACAAAAACTGGCCTGAGAACAGCCTTTTCAGATCCTGCTCATCCACAGACTGATGATAAATATTAAAAGTACAGTATGTGTTGACTGAGCGATGTTACGAACAGTGCAAGAAATCCTTCTGCAGGGAAATCCACTGAAACACACGCTCCATCATTCCTGCAAGGCATATTAAAATATTCATTTTTGTTGCACTAATTCACAGATTTTAAAGGATTGTTTATTTACATATTTAATATATACCACCATCTAAAATACATATATATATATATATATATATATATATATATATATATATATATATATATATATATCAAGCAATTTATAGTAAATAGTGTATTGCACTGGATATATTACAGTACTAACAATTCTTTATTAATTCTTTGCCAGGATACTGTGGTATTAACTGTAATAAATACTGTAGCGTAATATTGTAGCAAAATAAACCCTAAAGTTGTTGAAAACTACAGTGTTCAGTCATTTGTTGATATTACTATTGTTTTTACCATAGCAACTGTAGAACTACCACAATGGATCAGTTACAATAGTTGTCGTGTTACCATAGCAATTATAGAATCACCATGACACAATAGTTTTTAAATATACTACAATAGTATACTTTTAAAACAACTTAAGAGAAAACTACAGTATTGAGTCATGTGTTGACACTACTATTGCGTTACCATAGCAACTATAGAATTATTCCAACGGATTAATTACTGTAGTTGTTTTGTTACCGTAGCAACTATAGAATCACCACAACAGTATTTTATACAATGACTGTAAAAAATATGGACGACGCGACAGCCCCTTTTGCCATTGAACGCCTTGAGGGCAAAACGCCTGCTTGACGGGCACAAACTGTCGCAAAAGACTGCTGAAATTGGAGCCAGACATGCGCAGAAGGACTGTCTGATGGAGCCAGAGGAGGAGCCGCGATAATGAGCGGAGTCGAGCTTCCAACCAAACGCTTTATGTAAAATCAACCACGCCCCCCGAACTTCTCACTCGACTGCCGGTGTCTGCACTATAACAAACGCTCACTGATGTAAATAGAAGCACTTACATTAAAAAAACACAATAATATACGGTTTAAAAACGGTGTGATGTAAGCTGTTAAACTTTAATAAAAGCAATACATGGTGGACTGCAGAAATAAACGATCTTTTATACACTCTAGCCTGAATATGAGCACAAATAATATATTCTCTTATTGTTATATTTGTTGTTGGTATTTGTTATCTTCATAGGGGTAGAAATAACACTTGTAAAATATGAACAATAACATATAAACAACACGTACATTTTTAGAAAGGTTTTTATTTTTAATTAGCCATCAACAGAACCCAAAATATAGCCTACACACCATAACGATTTACCATGCGGGAACAATCGTGCGTTTAGAAGATAAATACAGCAAGATTACTAAATATCAACAGGATATTTACACATCCCAACCCTGCAATTTGTCAATTTGTGCAAAAAAACTTTGCACTATTAATACAACGTCTATCTGCTGTAACATCACTAGTATATTGTTTATTCATTTTCGCTTGAATTGTTTATTTATTTAATTTTTATGCCTTCGTTTTCA